TTCTATAGTCTCTTACCCTTTGTCCATCCCTTCATTCTTTGTACCTTTATCTTTGACATTCCTTTCTTTCATTCTTTATAGCTTATTATTCTTAAGTGGCTCATACTCCCTGAGTACTCTTGTGTAGTTTAGTATATATAGGTGTACAAGATCAGACTGGTCCTGTAGTCTTGATCTTGTCTACTCTAGGTAGTCCTGTACTCTTAGGCTCACTCTATATACTCTACTCTTGTCTCACTCTCTCTCTCTACCTGTTCTACAAGTTCCAACTACATTCCAGTACTTACATTCTGTATTTCTGTTGTGTAGGATAGTTGTAGCCTGGGTCCCCTTGCTGAGCCTTCAGGTCCCCTCTATACTGTTGCTGACAAAAACCTGAAGAGATAAAAGAAAAATATTATACTTACTTAAGGAGAAACTACATAGTTAGCTAGGAACTCTTTGTACAAAGACAAAGGACTATCAAAGCTAGTAAAGAGTCAGAGTCAATACTCTAAAGCTTTATACTTGAGAAGGACTAGTACTAGTAAAGGAAAGGGAACTGAGAGCTCTGAGGAGAGACTATAGGAAAGTAGTCTCCTTTATACACTTTACCTATACAGATGGGAAAGTAATAAAGTCATAAACATAAGGACTATATGAGGACAAAATGAGGAATACATAAGACAATCTAGAACTTTGATTGTAAGTTCTATGATTGAATACAGAAGTATAAAGATAAGGCTAGAAGTTAATAAGGATAATTGTCTCCTAAACTAAGTCTATTAAAGAAGACTTAGGGAAAGATCTAGAACATTAATTGTTAGTTCTAGAGTGTACACAAGACAGTCTAGAACTTTGGTTGTAAGTTCTAGGGACAGTACAGAAGTACAGCCTTTTATATTACAAGAGTCATAAGGAGTCATTAGAAGTTATAATACTCTACCTTATAAGAAAGTGTATTACAAACTAGTGTACAAGAAGTACAGGTTGAGTCAGACAGAGTCATAAGAACAATAGAGAGCTCTACTTTATAGGAAAAGTATTACACAGTTTACACAGTATAACTAGTCAGGAGGACTCATAAGGAGTCATTAGAAGCATGAGAGGAAGTATAGAAGACATAATAATATAGTAAAGGAGTTATTAGAAGATTAATCTAGAATACAAGAAAACACAAACTAGTGTTAGCAGATTAATAGAAGACACAAACTAGTGTAGTATACAGTCTAAAGGATTAGCCAGCTCTACTTCATGGGAACAACAGTGAAGGGAGTTACTAAAGTCACTAGAGTAACATTACTCTAGCAAAAGGTATATAAGGAGGCCAGTTTAGCCCTCAAAAAGATAGTTTTATCAACTTAAGTTACTTAGTACTTGAAAGTACTCTACTATCAACCTACTAGGCTACACTTGTAGCTTGACTAAAGTAGGACTCCTCTACCCTCTCACTCTACAAGTCTACAAGTCTTACTCTCTATACTCTATTCTGTTACTATTCTTAAGAATTAGGACTAGTAAAGTAAGTATATCTTACAAATAGTCTCTTAATATTAGTTCTATCTGAGTTTGTAATAAAACCTAGTAATATGTGTGTCTTGTCTCCCTTATCTCCTAAAAGCTGCTTTATAGTAAGGGAACAATTAGGAGGCATATAATAGTACAGACTGATTTTATTAAAATTGTAAATGTCTTAAGGTTTATACATTAAAAGTAGCTCCTAAAGATACTTACAAGTATTAGCTACTGTCTGAACTGAGACAGAAGCTGCTTTACTATACAGCTTATACTTCTTAATACTATTCTGCTCTTTATACTTGTCAACCTAACTATTTGAAAGTCTGAGCTACTTACCTTCTAGAATACTAAGTTTTTTAGCAAATTACTTGGCTTTCAGTTTGAGAACAGCTCTAGTAATTCTAAAATGTTCCTGAGTAGTAGAAACAAAGAGGTTGAGTGTATCCTCAAGCTCTAAGTATGTAATAGCCTTAGTAAGAAGACACTTGTAAAAGATCTGGTTTAGGTTCCTTCTTACAGTCTCTTAAATTTGTTCTCTATTCTAAACAATAGTATACACAGATGACTAATACAGCTTTGGAAAACAGTCTCTAAAGTGCTCTACAATTTTCTCCTAGCTCTAAAACTTTCTAGGTCCTTTAGCAAAGTTGAGGATCTCTAATTTGTCTCTAAATGTGTATGTAACACACTATAGAATGTATTATACAACTATAGTACTAGATTGCTTGTCTAATTTCTGGAGCTTCAATTGCTTCAATTTTACTAACTTTCCATAAGATGGCTCCCTTAGTAGAGTTGTATTGTTGACTGTACTTATTTGTGGATAAATACTAGTAGAAGCATAGATATTTAGAAGCAGAGCTGAGTGATTAACAGGGGAAGTATCTCTGGAATAAGAGAAATTAATTTCACTAGCATCCTTAAGAGTTCTGTCTAGGTTCTGAGCACATCCAAGTTCTTTAGACATGGTTTTTGATAGGTTTTAGCCTGGTTCTCAATGAAAGACACATTTATTTTGGCCAATTGACAGTGGCTCATCCAAAAAAAGTAGCTATATACAGTCCTGAAAATCACAATCACATGACTAAAGATTTCCTTTAATTAAGCATTTTCTTATATAGTTACACTTCTAAAGTATAATGCTTAATACTTAATGTATTTTATACTTAATGGACCCTTATTTCCCTGCCTACCATTATGGTGGACTCAAAATCTCATACTTAATTAAAGGTTATACTTAATTACAAGTATACTTAATGAGAGGTTCTACTATACATGTTACTATAACAATTAAGTAGAGAGATAGCTCTAGATAGTAGACAGTATAATATTAAAGAGAAATCTACTCACAACTATATAATATATTATATAAGTTATATACTTAGTACATACTAGAATACAGTATATTTGTCTAAAGTTAAATGTATAGTAAAACACAATATTTTGTCAAGTCAAGCATACTATTACTAAGATCTATTTTACAGTAGGTTACTAAGTCCTACAGTCTATTTTGGTTTATTCATTATATTTGTTAGATATATACTAAATTGACTACTTTGTCATAACTTGATTCTATTCTTGTTATCACCAAAGCCAATTACTTGTGCAAAGTAGAAGTGTTTCAAGTATATCATGAATTGAACTTTGCATATCAGATTATTACATACTGTAATTGAGAGAACGCTCCTTGAGTAAGATGCAGACTAAGTCTGAGTCCTTACATACAGCAATGATGACTATATATGCTTGCCAATGCTGCCCATTTATCCAATCGTCGTATAAACTAGTTATTGTATTGTAGCAGGTGGCATTCTACTATCTCATTGAGCCAAGTCTAGGTTATCTATTGCAGAGTCTAACATCTAATGTGGGTGCGTCCAGCTGCGCGTCCTCGACAACGATGCGTATCATCTAGCCAAACAGAACAGAGGGAACCTGGAGAAAATTATAGACCTACAAGTAAAGGGCGACAATCGTCATTTGCACCCGAGGCAAGTCATGGTGAGCACAGTGGTCAACAACATCATAGCCATCATCACAGAACTCAACATCAAAGACGCGTTCGAAGGCAACGAAACCCACACTCTGAAAGTCACACAGGTAGCAAATATTCAAACGAGGCTGTCTCGAACTTGACTGGACTCGAGAAAATTGCAATGTCCTTTTTCGGAAGAAGGCAGAGGGGGAAAACGTCTAAAACGCCCAAAACAAGCAGAGGCAAGCCAACATATGTTGAAATAGAAGATGGCACGATGCATAGAGCTAGACGAACAGCCAGACCTAAGACCAATGAATCAGCTGACACATGGACCACAACTTCGAGAACGACAAGCACAAGTCAAACGAGGAAACATGAGACTGCAAGAAAACAAAGATCGTCTAGAGCTGCAAATCCAAGCACAAATCCAGAAAAGCAATCAAATCAACGTCCCAAAATTACTAACGAAACAAAAATAGGAGAAGGCGCATTTGGCGAAGTTTGGGTAAGTGGGGATTGGAGATTACATGTCTGTCTTTCATTCCGAAACTCCTTAATTCTCTTTCTTTATGTATTCAGAGAGCCAACCATTCAGTGTATGGGATTGTAGCCATCAAACGCATGGTAGTCTCAGATAATGAGATAAGGAAGATGGCCGAAAAGGAACTACAACTGTCAAGAGAAGTTAGTGGTCATATTAATATAGTAAGTGCTTGACTTCCAGACTTCAGACCCGGTAACTCAACGGAAGTATTTGTTTGATAACTTTAGATTAAGCTTCGTGATGGCTTCAGTCGAACTATAGACAGTGTATCTAATGTTATACTAATATTTCAATTTGCCCCTGGGGGTGACTTGGAAGGAAGAATCAAGCGGAGAACACTATATGAGGCTGATAGAATAATTGTAATAAAGTGAGTGACCTGCCCAGTTCTTTACTGCCGACCATAATATTGTCTCATAAGAGGCTCGTTGAATGGGCTAAGGCACATGCATAGTCTTGAACTTGTGCATGGGGATATCAAGTGAGTGCACAGTTGTGTTGTGAAAAATATGCTTTATCCTGTTCTGTGTACACTGTAGGCCATCAAATATCCTACTTATGGGATACGAAAACGAAGATGTAATAGGAAGTGATGTGAAGTTATCAGATTTTGGAATGTAAGTTTCATAGCTTGAGCTATGGTTTATGTATCTCTCTAATAGACCATTTTATATATCAGGACGTCGCGCATTTCAAAGGACCGATACGCAGTATCGGTCAGTAGATTGGGCGGAGCAGTATCATATATAGCGCCAGAGGCCTGGGAAAGTAATCTAACTTACGGATTAGACGTTTGGGCTCTAGGGTAAGCCTTAACTTCTTTGGGGACCAGGAGAGTTAGCATACAAATACTTGCAGAGTTACACTTTATGAGATGTTCAACGGGTTGGACAGCTTCCCAGTGACCATGCCTAAGTAACGACTTTCTCTGATAAATAAACCTGACGAGCTCTGCTTATATATGCACGTTTTCCAGAGAAAATGACAGGCGTCAGCCTAACATAATTGCAGGGAAAATACTTAGTTACGAGACAGTTTGGGATAAGCCTTCCTGGTATAATAATGATCTAGGTATAGAATAACGTAGTCTATACTCCAGTTTGACTGACAATAAGTTGAATAAGCTTTGTCTCTGTGTCAAGAGATGCTTGAAACAAGTTATATATCAAGAATAACTGTTGGCAAAGCATTGAAGCACCCGGTCAGTGGTCAGTTTAGTAATGATACATGACTGTTACTCAAATGTACGAATGTTAGTGGTTAAACGTATAGAAGTCAATTAGCACCACAATATGAATCATATTTGACAGTTCAACATTAACTTTAGGTGGTAAATCCGGAGAATCATTGGAGATTTCTCTCATGTCCTTTACGTTAATTATCCGCATTCTCTACATCCAGCTTGGTATTTAGCGCGCCGGGGCAAAAGCACGATTTCCATTAGGCCACGCAGATCCATCCAAGAAGTACTAGTTACGTCGACGTCGAAACTACCACAAACTTGATATGGCACGTGTCAAGGATCTTCTTCCCGCGCTCGATCACATTGACTTGAGTAGCATGCGTAGTGGCGTATGGCATTCCTAATCAAGTCTCCTGGCTTCTCAGATCAGACAGTAACGATTCGAGCAAACAGACAAGCCAGAGACTCACTGATATCAGCTTTCACTCCCTTCCTTCCGTGCGTGTCCCCTCCGTTATTCCTGCAAAGTGTCCTGAGAGCATGCCGAGAAATTCTTGCCATATGTGCTTGCAAGTGAATGACACTGGACAAAAATATTAAAATAAAATCATCTTAGAAAGGTGTGCTCCTATGCTAAGCTCGTACAGTGACTCACAAAAAGCGTGGTTCTAATGAGGCCAGTGACGCTAAGACGTGGACAGGGAACATTTTAGCCTTTACGTTCTACATTGGAGAAAGGTGAGAAAAACCCCTGGGTATATGCGCTTAGAATATGTCAATGAGTGCCTTGGGACAGTACCTGAACACCTCTTCATCATCTAAGTCGGTGCATATAACTTTTCGGACGAGATTTTACTCTGGAGGAACTAATGCTGAAATTGAATCTATTTTCAAAAGACATGTTAAGCCTGGACGAGTGTTCTGTTGCGCTTGGTTCTGCCTGAGAGAATACTGATATATTATTAGATAGTTAGCACTCAATTAGTCCTCGACTACTGCTACTTCTCAACGGAGAATATCCAAGTAGGAGTCTGTTACCTCCGGATTAATTTATGCTCCCGCTTATCCTTGTCACGACTCGGAATCGCATCCACGCACTGCCGATAAGTATTGGTTCTCGCGTTCATATATGCTATAATATGGTAACGTAGCACATTGGTTGTGTGCATCATAACATGAAATTCTGCATTCTCTCATGTTCTTCTACCCTTGTCATATGTGTTCGTGTTCATTGACGAACTTGAATTCTATTTTCTCTCACAATCTTTTGCCCTTTGTCATATGTGCTTGTGTTCGTCAATGAACTCTGAATAGGAATGACAACCTGTTGAACACTGATGATCACATGAAGCAAGTTCAGATTGAGTTCAAGGATCAGTAGGGAGTAAACCTCGGTATTGTGTCGGGATTGATAATCGGCGGTACTTCAGGTTGTCATGAAGTAGACACTGGACTTGCACCATGCCATGTTTAGAGTCCAATATTAATGGAGTGCAGAGGGGGCGGATCTATGACACAAACCTATTCTATTCTTTTTTCTCTCTGCTGGAACTGAAATTGGTGCAAAGTGTATATGTTTCAAACATATCATCACTCATACTTTGCAGCCTGTGTTTTATTCATTTATCACGGGTACTTCTAGATGGAGGCTGCCGCTTGACCAGGATGCAAACTTCGAAGTGTGCCCTTAGATATACCTCTAATAATCATATATACCCGCCAACCTACCACAACCAGTCCAACCATGCCATAAGCATAGCATGCCATTGTTGCTGTAAACAGCCATCTTCTATTTAAATCTGACAAGTAATGTGGGTGCGAACGGCTCGTCCTCATCGACGGAGACACATATCTTCTAGTCATAGTAGGCTAAGAAAATCTAAAGCTATTATGAGATGATTAGTTCATCAACAGACGAACCACGAGACAATGACTTCATAATGTCTCAGTTAGAATACATACAATATAAGGACGAGAGACACTGAGCAGTCAATCGTCACCTCACCCCTTGTCTATGCGTGCCCCCCTTAAGTTCTCCCTCTTAACAGGTTATGAGCCTTGAGCTCCCTACATACACACATCCACTGTACACTCTAAACTCTTTACTCGTATACATTTGCACACATTCGCATCATGGTTCCCCCACATACAGATACACACTGTAAACCAGCTGATGTACCTAAATACTTTGGTCAAAACATCACAATGCTTAAGACTGAAGCAAACTACAAGATGTGACACTACTGTATTGTTTCTAGTGTTGCAGCTACATGCTTCGAACACTTACTAAAGGATGAACTGTAGAATGAAGCTGAGAGGGAGATGGCTAAGGCCATTCATACATGCATAGTCAATAACATTGCTGACACAATATTGGCAAACTATATGCACTTTGATACATCTATCCCTCAGTTAATGAAAGTGCTTGAAGAATGCTTTAACCCCTAGACAGCATGTAAAAAGGCTATTGACGAATTGGCACTGTTTATTTGTAGAGACCATGTAAAACATTTCAGACATACATTAGACAGACTTGAGGAAGCATACACAACTCTGTCTACTAACAGTGATCCACCATGTGACTCTACATACAAAGCAGCAATATTGCTTACCACTCCTGAGCAATATACACACATAGTAAATACAATAATACAATCTACTGATGCCCAAAACAAAGGCAAACCAGTCAATGAACATAAGAAAGTTGAACTGAAGCAACTAATCCTTACATTACAGAATGCCTACAATGATTACTGTGCTAAACAAGCACAAGATTCCAATGATCAGACAAAGAATAATACACACATTAATACAATGTATAAAGCTAATAAGTAGAGGAAATTCAATCTGCCAAATCTGTTCAATCCAACAAAAGTGAAATGTTTCAATTGTGGAAAAACAGAACATTTCTCTAAGGAATGCTACAAACCTCCTACTGAAGCTATAAAGCTTGCATGCACCAAACA